TTATATATATATATATATATATATATATATATATATATATATATATATATATATATATATATATATATATATATATAAGCGTTGCTAATCAATCTAAAAGAGGTTAGTCAAAGATTTTGAATAAAATAGTGTAATTATCGATGATCAAAAGTTGATAGTCAATCATTGGGGTATCTTTGACCAAAACAGTGAAAATTCTAGTCGTTGGATGACAACTATATCACTAATAGTCGATTATCAAGTTATTGAATTTTGGTTGAAAACTGGCTGATAGTCGGTTATTCGAATGTGATAATCGATGATATGGCCTTTCAGAAGTTTGATTGTATATTATCACATTTTGATAGTGGACTATTAAGCTTCTCTGAAGTGCTGATAGTCTATTACCACTTTCTTGTAGTAGATTATAGAAGACAAAAAACTGATGTCAAAAACCAAAGTTCCACAAATAAAAAACTAATGGTTGGAAATACTTGTTTGTGCTATATAAAGTAAAAACCAATCGTTAAATATTAAAAATTAAGCCTTTAGGGTGAAAATCACGGATCACCAAGTGAGGGATGGTTTTCATGGTTTTAGACTAAAGATCATAAACCAAGAATGGTTTTTGAAACTTAATGCTTTGGAAAACATTTGAATGTGCCCAAAAGTAAAAACCAAAGGTAAATCTCAAAAACCATTTGAATAAAATGAATGCTAATAACCAACACCGAAAACCAAACACCAATCGCCGAATGCCAATAACCGATGGTTATGTTTTTTGATGGACAAGATGCAAGTATGAAAATCATGGTTTTATGCATATGAAAAATGAATTAAGTTGAGCCAAAAGCCAGGATAAGTTAAACATTGCTCTTACTTCAAGTTCTACCCAACGACCTATGTCTTGGGGTCATTGATCTTGAACTCTTGAGCACTTCTTTGATTATCTTCATATCTTTGGCATAATTTTCACTTCAAGTACACATTCTTTGTTACCGCCACATGTTTTTTTCATTGTTTGTCAACCACAACATCTTGACTTCATTGATTGTCATTCATCAAAACCTACACTTGAAAATCATGATAAAATACCAATGCACATATTAATGATTTCCACATGAGTTACAAAAAAGGTGATGGGAAGATCCTTCCCGGGTAAACAAAAAGGATATTTGAGAAAATCAATGGAGGACGGAGGGAGTATAATTTATATCACCTGATGTATCAATCATTTATGCATTAAACGTGCGTAAAATAGGTAAACTTAATAGTACGAAGTATGTTTTTAATTATAAGTAACAATTATTTAGAGTATTATAAAGGGAAAAAAATAGTAATAATAATAAAACATCTATTTTATATAACAACTAGATTCATACCCGTGCTTTGCACGGCAAGAAATTTAATTGAAAATGTGAATTATGATAAGTTTAATAAATAATTATTTGTGTGTCATTAAATATAAAGGCATGTTTGAGAATAACGTTAGAGATTACCGTTAGTGTTTTGAATAAAATTGTAATGGTACAAATTACTTTAAAAACGCTAACGCTAAACATTACCCATAGATAACCTTTTCAAAATTCTAACGCTAATCTCCAATATTATTCCCAAACAAACCCAAATTCAACATTACATATAAGTAATTGGAGTAGCTAATGGTTCGATAAAATTTTATACTCACTCTTTCTCATAAAAAGTTTTATATTTCTTTTTTCATTTATCTCAAACGAAGTTGTAACCCTTATAAGAAATATTTATACTAAATAGCACTAAAACTTAAGTCATTTCTCTAAATAGCACTTAAATTATTTTATTCCCTAAATAGCACTTAATAATGTCCATAATGACCAGTGATGACAAATTTTTATTTGAATAATGACTAAAAGTACTACATTGGGAAAACAACACATGTAATGCTATTTATGGAAAATCATTATGTTTTAGTGATATTTCCGTAAATTCCTCCCCTTATAATTGTCATCTTTTTAGTTTTGTATCACTTTTTCAACCATAAAATTTTACTTTTTTAAATCTCCATATCAATTTTAAATGATAACCTTATTTATAAGAATTAGGAGTACATAATATTAATATATAACGAAGTAAACTAATATTTAAATAGCATATCAATACAGTTTTTTAAATAGCAATAAAAAACAATTTTAGACAAAGTCAATGCTAAAAACAATTTTAGACAAAGTCAATGCTTACAAACTTATGCAGTAATATCACAACAATAACTACTCGAGAACTCCGTATTCATTAAAACTAACATCTATAATGGACTATAAGTGGTAAATTGTTATGTACAAATGTCTTTTGATGTTCTCCATGTCTAAGTTAGACCTTTGATTTTCCCCTTTGTAAGCCTATATATAGAGGCTCCATATGTTGAAATGAGACATCCATATCTTTAGTTTCTCATTGCATTCTTTCTCTTTCACTCTCCATTGCACTTTGATCTTCCATTTGTGTTCTTATCAAGGTATATCTCTATAATCTTGTTCTTGATAATATTTCTATTATCTTAATTCTTAACACGTTATCAGCACGATAGCAAAAAATTCTAATTTTATAGAAATTACTCCCCTTCATCTTTTGTCCTTATTGATATTCATGTTATAGATATATACATATACATATACACTTATTTATTTTAGTTTTTTTTAGTGAACACACTGAACACACTGCGGGTGGCTCCTCGTTCTGTTCGAGTTGCTAGCGGCAGCCGACGGAGACGGCCTCGACTTACTCCTCTTAGGCGGCGGCGCACTCAAAGAACCCTTCTCGTACCTCTTTCCCCCGAATCCAAAACTCTTCCCGCTCGGCCCGGTGCTGGCCGCGGGTCGCGGGTCTTTTATCGCTCTATCCTCCTTCTTGGTTGCCTGCAAATCGTCCAAGCTCTTTTCCGTCTTCACAAACAAATCATACGCCGCATTAAAATCTGTCGTCGTGATCAGTGCGGCGTACGGCCTCAAGTCCGGCCGTAGCTTCTTGACGAACTCATTCAAACGATCCTCCGGAGTGGAGACCAGACTCGTCGCATACTGGGACAGGTAGTCGAACTTCTGTCTCAGTTCAGGCAGTGACATCCCCTCCTGCTTAAGCGCAACGAACTCATCGCGCCTCTCCTCGCGGTACCGGGTGGGGACGTACTCCTTCGTGAAGGCTCGATC